TGACTTGTTTACTAAATAAAAGGAGTACTAGATAATTAGACAATTAAATAGAAATTGTGAGATAAATAAATTATTAAATAAATTGCCTAAAAAGATTAATTGAATTATTAAGGATAAAATGATGGGCTAACTAAAAGATATGCTTAATTAGATGAATATGGTTTAATTAGTAAAAGGTAATAAGTTTTTAGGGGGCTTATTTAAAGCAGATATTAGTTGGGGTAATTAAAATAAAAGATAGTTTTAATTAAATAGGTTAATTAAGAGGTTTAGTTTATTATTTATTTTTTTAAGAAAACTGATTAAAGAAAAATTAGGTTAAATTAAAATCAGGTTAACAGGTTAATTAATTGGATAATGAGGGTGGTTGTGTGTATGATTAGTGAAGTGTGTGTGATTATATTACAAAACGAAATTAAAAAACAAAAAACAAAGGAACAGTGAACCATAAGGCTCCTCTCTTTCCCCCCTTCTCGAGCGCCTCTCCTCTCTTCTTCTGGGATCTCCTCCTCTTTTCTTATTCTGCAAAACAATCACAAAAGCAACGCAAGCAAAGCCAATATCGAGCATAAAATAGAAACCCTCATGATCCCCAAATCAAAGAACCCTAAACCCCCAAAACTAAAACAGAAGACAAACGGTAACACCAACGAAGGAGCGGTCGCGAGCGACGCTTTGAACCGGGAGTCACAACCCACCTGCGGCGTGCGTTCAACGGAGACAGGGCGGTTTGCGGTGGCGCGAGCTTTGAGGGGTGGTTTTCGTCAGATAAGTTTCGTCCTTTATTGCTTTGAATGTGTGAACCATCTCCTCTTGTGATTTCGTATTATATAGGCTTCAGTTGTTTCCTCGTGTTAAACCTGATTGAAGTGTTTTGAATGCTGATTGATGGTTGATTGGATTTTCCTTTCTAGTGTAGACAATATTTGAAAACTTTCTCTTTTCGGATAATTTCGTTTAATGCCTATTAAGTGAAAATTTCAAACCCTGATATTGTGTATCAAATTTGTTGAATACTTTGTCTGTCCAGATTCAATGCTTTTTTAGGATTTGGATAGGATCTTTTTGGAATCTTTTTTCTCTCACACGGTATATTCCTCAATGAGTTACTAACTCAGGACTTGTGATTTGGCAGGTGTAGAGAACAATCTGTTTTGGGCCGGGGGAGAATCAACAGCCCAAAAAGAAATTGCATCTGATACACTTGTAACAAACTCGACTTATACGCTCGGTGGTTCTCTGATGAGGGTTTTCCTGAAAGTGTTGGTGATGACTGAAGCTAGTGCTATCTTTGGAAACCGAGTGAAGTTGTCGTAACGATAAGTCGCAGTAGGCTGTAGCAGCAAGTCATATGTAACCCCTTCTTCTTTATTCCCCTTGTATCACAGTTTATATACTTGCCTCCTCCATGGAGCTGAATTGGCTGTCATTCTTAGCTGAAGGCACGGTTGAAGGCGGAGGAGAATATAATTGCTATAGTTTCTATACCGCAGCCACAATTTGGTTTTGGAAATGCTGGATGGAATAAGAAATAGAGTTGATGTCGGAGATTCGTAAGTGACGCGACTGTTGTTCCTTTAGATGGATCAATTGGAGCCATATCACAATGTTCTGATGTTTTTGTGGGCGGCTTCAACAGACACTCTGCTGCTGCTTTTTTCACAAAGACCTTTTAAGCTGGGTGTAGATCTCTGTCTAAGATTATCATTTTGAGTTGTAGCTGTTGCAGTCCAGTACTTTCCAACTGATATGCTCACCATATGTCTCCTACACGTCGCATATAACTGCTGGCATTTAAGATCAGGATCTGAGGAGACCCAATAAGATAATGCACCATCTTCTGTAAGAGCCATGTCGTGTATCATTCCAGCAACTATAAAAACTACGTGAAGTCGTTCCTTACGATGAAACTTTAAAGGAGTGCTTCCACTTTTCTTTAAGTTCCTAGTAATCACAACACGTTTTGGAGTAACAAGTCGGTGACCCCAGGTAAATACCTCTCCATCAGATCCTAAAACAATTATGATATTCTGCAGCAGAAACTTCAGTTAAAGTCTTTCCCTTCAAGGATTCAACCACATGTGGAGTGTAGTTAGACGCTGAGTTTGAGGTGTCGTAACCAAGCTGACCCTCTCTATTGCCACCCCATGTAAAAAACTTCACCTAAATTAGAAACTACAGTTGTGTGCTTGTTTGCTGCATCAACGACAACAATTTTGGACTTCAACAAAGATACTCTACGAGCTGTGGGTTGTGTATCAACAGAAGTGTACCCAATCTGTCCCTAGACCAGAAGTCACCTGGCGTGCTAGCAACTTGGGTAATTTTCGTTATTGTTTCGGTTATAACTTTGTCGTCAATGCTTTGTTTAAGTAAATACCCCAGTTGCTCATGAAGAAATAACTTGAATTTGTCTATCTTTGACAGGCTTCTGCAATCTATTATCTGAAAGCTCTCGAAGAATCTCAGTGTTTATAGCGTCGAGCTTAGTGATAGCTTTAGAGCGTCTGTTACTGGCACCCGTTCATGCTTAGCATCTGTTACAGCCATATTATTTTTCTGTTTCGAGAGTGCTGCTTCTACTTTTTGAAGGAGTAAATAGACTGCTAAAATTTATTTTGATCTGCATTTGTAGGAGGAGACGGAGGGAAGAGAGAGTATCTTGGAAGGTGGTGGCTTGCAAGCTTTCAAAGGAGTGGACATGGTCCCTCCAGGACATAATTACAACACTGTTTCATTCGTCGGTGAGTTCTTTGAGCATGTACCGCATGTTCGTAACCTACTATTAGCATGTGTAATGCTACTACCTTGGAAATTCCCCATGTAAAGAGAAATTATAACCTTTACTGTGATTTTCATGAAACAGGTGCGAAGAGTGCGACCTTCTAACGACGCGAGCGGTGGCCATGAAGTCCAAAGGAAGCTACAGGGGGAAAAGCGCACCCTGCGAATAGTTTCACACAACTCATTGGCCATAGTGTTTTTGCTGTTGTTGTAATTGGTCTTGAGAAAGAGAAGCTCATGAAGCTCCATTGTAAAGTGAAAAAATGATTGTAATGTAAATCTTGTTTTTGTGAATAAACTTCCTTCTTTCTTTTCTCCTTGATAGTTGATGTGCCTTTTGTAATAAAAACTTAAATTGTATTCTGTAAGGTCTTGCAATATGATTTTAACCAAAGATCTTTTCTTGTACGGTTTGAGCTTCTCAAAGCTGTAATGAGCTTTTACTTATAAGTTTAAGTTGTGAGTCTTGAAGTGTGATTTAATGCTTGATATTTTGATGAACTTTGAGTTTCCAATGAGGTTTGAAAACTGATTAGCACAATATGAACGTGTGAGACCAAATCCATCATATGAATATTTGGGATTAGCTCATGTCTCAGGCTTCTCTTTATACTTAAGAATTTAAAAGTCTTAACGCAATTCTGCTATGCCTCTTAAGAACAAACTCATGTTGCGACCTTTATCCAAAATATAATTCGTTAAAAGAACTCGGGATTTTGTGAACCACTTTATAATCCTTGAATTTGAAGCTTGAACGAAAACTTGGTGAAGGTTGGCTTAGGCAGCCCGACATTAATTTGATGGATTTTGTTCGGACTCCTTTGAACTTGAATATAAGTAATTCTCATAAATGACACCAAATGGGCTTCGATTTTGCAATGATGCACCCAATCTTGGAATTTGTAGCTTGGACTTAAATCTTTTAAATTTGCAAAACTCAAAAATTCCTCTTGCCACAAAACCAATGATCAATCCTCAAATGACTACGTAAATCTTTGAAGCAGGGCCAACCGACTACGTCTTGGAGTATTTAAATTGTGAAAATGAATATTATCCTCATTTGAAATCACTGCATCTGCACACGTTGGTTAGTCATGGTAAACATACTTATAAAAGTAAAATAAGACAAGCAAGAAATGAACACCAGGGGATGGGATCTTATGGCCAAAATTAGGGTGCAACACCTTCAAGAGACGCATCTCCAAAATAAGTTTGCAAATACATCTCCAAAATAAGTTTGCAAATACATCTCTAAAATATTTTAAAGTTTTAAAATTGAGTGCGTTCGAAGATGTATCTCAAGAATTTGGAGGCATTTTAATATTTTAATGTGATGCGTAAGAAATTATAAGCTCCATTAAGAAATGCTCAAAATGTATGTGTGGAATACACTTTGATTTATATTTAATTTTTCATATATATTTAAAATAATTTAGATATACTCATTGTTACATATAATTTTATTAAATAAAAATTAACTTAATACTAAAATAATATATAAGAGATAACATCACCAATAAATTATTAATTAAATAATGTCATTTAATGTCTTATATTTATTAATCGCTAAAAAATTGTTAATTTATCAAATATTTCAATTAACTTATTAACCAGCTATCATTAGTTACAAACTACAATATTACCTATCAGTCATCACGGTTTCTAAAGGTGTCCTCAAATTCTTAACTAAATTTGCTAAGATTTTGCCTTCAATCAATGGTTTGATTCTATTTTCATTCACATCTAGCAACGATAATGAAGTTCAGTTGTTTATTGGCAATCCAGCAACGCAAACATGGTTACCAATCCAATCCCAGAGCAACTACATCACTATAGGAGAATTGAAGAAATATGTGAGCATGAATGTGAATATATGATTTTCATTACTTCTTTTTCGAACCTGTGATGCCAAAAAGCAATCAGAACACACTGCAAATCACAATGCATTTCAATCTCAAAACATATTTTTCTTTAAACAGATATTGAGCAACCATTTTCATTAAACAAAAGTTTCATCCGCCACCTAATCATAATTCAACATTTGCGATCATGTTAATGAAAAAATTGTTGATAAATGAATCTATCAACTATGCCATTATCACCTACAACATCTCCTGAAATAAACAAAGTACTCTTCAATGTCAAATTTAACCACTTGACTTATTCCGTGGTCCATTGATGGACTTCAACCGCCACATGAGCTCTTGAGAATCTTCTCAATTTTCTTTGGAATCAATCTTCCTCTTTGCAAATGACGGCAAACAGAAAGCTGCTGTATGAATCTGGAATTGAAGACAGAGAAAAATATAAGTTTAACAAGTAAAAGTTAAAGATGAGAAATAGAAATTCCGAAAAGAAAGAGGGAAAATGCAAAAGTTGGTTGGAGCAACAGACCACAGAGTTGTAGAATTTGAGTGGTTTTAATGACTTTTGACACTCTTTTTGATCAATGGGATTCACCGGATGCTTGAAATCAACAAGAGGTCCCTCAGTTGAACAAAGCATAAAACCAATCATCCCACTAACATGAAAAAATGAAAGAAATATAAAGATGGATCACCGTGTACAAGATTGTCAAATAGCCGTCATTTATGGCTTGAGGATTCTTTCCCAACTTCTATAGGCCATAGCACCTATATATCAGCCATGTTTCTGGCAAAGCCTGTAACACTGTTTATATGACCGACTTGTGGCTTCTGCCGTAATGAACCATTGGCCATTGTTAAACTTGATTGGAGACAATCTTATCTTACATTCACAAGATACTGGTTCAATGTCTTGAACATGTGATTTAAATCGCCAAAGTTTCTCATCTCGAATAGGAAAATAGATTACGAAAAAACAATTTGAGAAAAACATACCTAGGGTATGTAGGAACTGTAGTCCAAGCATAGTTGACAGAGCCTTTAAAAATATGTCGACAATTGGCTACGATGTCCTCAATTATATCCATATGAAGCCATATACTCTCTGCTTGAGTGCACATAACTCCTCCTGGACGAAGAGCCCTTGCTACCGATTGAAAAAACGGCTTTTCAAAAAGCTCCTGAGCAGGACCTTAAGGAAATCAAATGTAACATTAACTTCCTTTTAAATTTAAGTTAATATCACATAGAAAACTGTAAAAGCATTACACATGTAGCATACCGATAGGGTCCGATGAATCCACTATAACTGCATCATAAGTTCCTTCTGGAACTGCCTTCAAAAATGCAACTCCTAGACCATTGTGCAAAAAGTCATCATGAGATAAATATAACTTCTCAATATAACACTTTCTTACATTGTCAATCAATTATAATCGTTAGATAATTCAAAATATTTGACTTTTATCAAAACTTCTCAATGAAGAGTAAATTACTTATGGCTAGTTGTGATTTGTTGACGCCGTAGAACTTTTTACACCGACAACGTATCAAAATTAAACTCAGATATTTAAGGGAAACTATTAGAGTAGGTGATTGTACCATCACCAATGCGAAGTGTCACACGTGGATCGCTAAACCCTACTGCAACTTCAGGGAAAAATTGTTTGGAGACCTGGATAAAGTGAAGAATTCAATATTTACAATGAGTACTACATACTTCATCTAGAAGTCACAATTTAAATTGCAGTGGTCACAGGAACGTCACGGTTTATGAAATTTCAGACATATGAGGTTGACGTTCACAAAATTATAGTTGCAAATTTTTTCGCAGATACTCCAAAAACCTTGACATTACATCCACATTTGAAATCGTGTTATTAAGCTTTAGTTAGAGACGAGAAAGAACATAGTAAAACTTTGTGACTCACTTCAACAACCATATTGTCAATTTCACAAATGTCTATCTTTTCAATTGAAGAATGACGTGCTACTTCCCGCAGGACTCCTCCATCACCTCCGCCAATAACCAAAACCTAAAAGAGAAAATTACAGTGAAAATGAAGTATATAAGTTCAGTGACTAAACATGCATTATAAACGACTCAATTCACTGCTTATAGTATAAGCTCTTATCATATATTTGTTTAAGTTTTTCTATAAAAAAATATTAAATAAAGTCACACTATTTTTATACAAGCTATAAGTTGTTTTCATAAGCTATCCTTGCGAGCTTCCAGAAAACAACTTATAAAATGTCAAAAGTTGTTTCCATAAGCTTATCAAACAGTCTCATAAGTGCTTATACTAGTAAATAAGCTCAAATAAGTGAATCAAAATAGACTCATAAACTAAAATTTCCTTGACGCATAGAAATATCGATGACCTTTTTGGGGTTTGGAATAGAGCAGAGAGGAAGATGAGTGATCATTTCTTGGTAGGCACATTCATCCCTTTCTGTGAGCTGAATAACTCCGTCCAAAATAAGGACTTTACCGTATGTTGATGACTGCAAAAGACGTCACGGTATTGCATTGAGATTATAGATAGGATAAGAAACATAGTATAGAGAAAAATGTAAATGTAATTTCAAAATTGACCGGAACCTCATTTACGTACCTGGAAGACCATGACTTTCTGATATTCAGACTTTCCTTGAAATAAAATCTTTTCTATCTTCAAAGAGTGAGCTTCTCCTACAAAATTACAACCAGATTTCAATTCATGAGTTATATTACAACAAGACAAATCCAAAAACTCTTGAATATATTTTACTAAGAGGTTATAACATGCACTTATTGCTATGGATTTTAGCAATGTTTTGGGTTTTTTCAGATTTGGTACCATAAAACGAACTCAAATATATTCATTACCGATAAAAAGATAATTTGAAGATATACCTCTGTTATGAGTAAACAATATGTATTTTCAACAAAAATTACATATAACTAGACCAAAGGCTACGGTCCTAGGATTGGCAAGACGCAAAATACAAACAAATCTAACAAAAGAACACTTGCTTGGTACACATGCACTTTACTCTAAATCGAAAACACATGTGAAAAATGAAAATTGTAGGAATAGGTACCACAAAACGAAGATGAAGTGACTTCACATCAAAGTAAGCTTAAACTACTACATGTTCATATGTCAAAAAAGAAAACAAACATAACCATTACTCCACAAATTATGCAGGAAGATGTAAGATAATAGGTAGGAAAGGAAGTTGTTATAAAATAAAAACCACAACAAAATAAATTGCTCCACGAAAGCATTTTCGAAAAGCTTGATTGATACATATATGTGCAAACATATGCTGGTAAATGCCAAACAAATTATAAACAAAAACTCAATTCATTGGACATTAATTTTAAGAATCAGAGTGAAAAAAAGGTGGATATTGGACAGAAACTGTTTCGGGCCGTTCGCCAAGAAGAAGACCCAATAACAAGTATTGAAGAAGAAGGCACACGGAATAGGTGGACCTCATCCCTACCAAGGACACACGATCGCGCCCCCACTACATCTCTCACCGTCGAATCTAATCGAACCATAACCTACACAAGGCGCCAAATCACATGCGGACGGTGTTAACCACCCATACTATATAAAGACCAGCTTGCACTATTTCAGTTATTCAATCTATTCTCTCTCTAGAACTACTTTTCACTGGGTCACTAACTTGAACGTGGAGTGTTATACTTGCAGGTTCACCTCCTCTCACCGCACCGGAAGTCTGATCTGATGTGTCTGAGCCGTATTTCATCACCTATCTCTAGATCCCTAAGTGGAAGCGAAACCAAGAGAAAAAAAATAACTGAATCATAAAAATCAAACAGATAACCAAATTCAAATCTCTTCACACATAAACAAACTCCTTGAAAGGTGGAATGAAAGCCAGAAACCAATACAAGTTAAGTTTTCCATAACTAAACAAAATATAAACCAACAAGTTTAAACACTACAAATTTCTTTTCCTAGCAACTAAACCTATGAAGCATTTTAACTCAAACACAAAAGCGGCAAAGCTCAAATTTTTGAATCAACAAGCAAAAGGGTATGAAGAAAAAAAACTAACCAGGCCACATTGGGCTAATTTCAGAGAACCACCCAGGAATCACAGACGAAACACCATTACCACTCGGGTCCTTATCACCACCTTCAACATCCATAGAGAAACTGGAAAGAGAAAGGTCATTATCCAGTTCCACCATGCTCTCTGCAGCCATGGCGAAAAAAAACTCTTTTTTTCACTGAATTATCAGCTAGGACTGTGTTTGGAAGTTACTGGGTTCGTGGTTGAGATAGAATTGGAGAAATGGAATATAGAATAAAGAGGAAAAGGGTGTGGTGTGGGTCAAGGAATCTGCTTTTGGAGAGATGTGATTGAGAAATGTGAGGTGGTTTTGGATTGGGGATAGTGAGTTCTCAAACTCTGCCTTAGGATATTATGCATGTTACGTGTTTTGTTCTTTCTGACCAAAAACAAGAACCGAAAGTGATAACAAGTGTGGAAAATTGTGGTTCGGATTCTCATAGTCATAAAATAAGTGAGGATTAAATTAATAAATTAATTTTTCATCCAATAAAATTTCATTAGAATAATTGACTTAAATGCACTTTTGCTTTTAATCTCTCGTATTAATTGGTCTCTCTCTAATTTTAGAGATATGACAAGACAAGGATGATTAAAATAGAATAAAAATCATTTTTAATGTCGTATTAATGATGATTTGGATTAGGATTTTAAAAAGTTTGTGGTAGTAAATAAGAAGAAAAAGAGTTACTTGGAGCTAGAAGCTTAACATGATTTTAAAAAAAACTAGATTATATCATTGTAAAGCTTTTTTATGTGAGCTAACTCAGACATTAACATGTTGTTAGCTAACAGACATTAACATGTTGTCTTTTATTGTTTCAGAAAGAGCAGTAGCATAAGTGTTGTTGTTGTTGTTAGTGGTCCTCCATTGATAAACGATGGTGAAGTTAATAGTAGTGAATCACGTGTTTAAAAAAGAAAAGAAACGTGGAGGAACATTGTGACGTCGGTGGTGGTGGTTAAGGTGATGGGTTCATGATTTCGGTTTGTTGCGGCTATATTAATTATTAATTTATTAAAAAATATTAATTAATAAATTATCTTAATTATCATTTGTATGTCATTAAAAAAATTATTTTTTAATCATATTTTTATATTTACAAAATTGAAGAGAAACCAACAAACTCCTAAGAGATGAAAAGTTAAGGACCAAAAAGTTAATTTTTAAAATAGAGGACTAAAAGTTAAAAATGAGCAAAAGTGCATTTAAGTCATGATAATTATAACATAGAGGTACTCTCTTAGAAAATTAACTTGAGCATTGAGCATTGGAGTGTTAATTTTGCAGATACATCTCTTTGATCATTGGAGACCTCAACCACCACACTAGAAGCCTTGTTACGGTGGTTATTTTCTACATGTAGAATATTTTTTGTTTTAGTACAGAATAATGCTGGCGTTTGTGGAAATTAATATCATATAATACTCACAAATTTTTCATCAAAAACCTCTGATCTTCCTTATTTGCGTTGCCACAACTGTTTCGATCACCATAACCATTTTTGTTAACCATTCCGATCGTTGATTGATCTTCTCATAACCTCTTTTTGTTGTCATCTTCAATGGTAGGATACAAAGCAACTTGATCAACTACTCACTATAACTCCATTCATTTTCATAACGCTCGATCAACGTTTCAGATGCTTCAAGATAACACAACACATATTCTCACTCTCACATTTGAAAAACCTCCTTAACGTCAAGATCTACATGTTTCGATCACAATCTCGTCACTGTTAGTAACATCACATCAGATCTCAACTTCTCAACCAATTGCTCAGGAATCTCTTTTGATTGCTTCGTACAAGCATCAATTTTCACTTCAGCCACTACAGTATTAACATTAGATTCCTCCACCACCATTCCTATCCTCCAAAATGATACTGTCACACAACATTCAATAACTCCACGCCATGCTATGGGAATCTGGCGCTAACGATTTCATGATGAAAATATTCCACGTTGTTGTTACACCCTAATTTTGACCCTGAATTGCCAATTGTACATATCATAACATTTTCATCATTTGAGTATCATATATTTTATTCATGTCATCTACCATTTGTGCATATAGAATTTGTACCTTTTGTTCTGCGTTATCTAAGCTCAGGTCATCCCCAGATCGAAGAAAGGTTCATGCGAAGTTATCAAGACAAGTATATGTGCGGTGTAGTGTGAAATTCAATGGAAATTTTACCAAATCTTGGTCACAGAAATGGTTTATTTCTGTATCAAGTTATCAGTTGTGGCAAAAGCATTTTGTTTCAAGGTGGATAGTTATCAGGCCAATTGAGTTTCAGTTAGGGTTTTGGTGTGGTCGCCACTATTCATTCTCTCAGGTTTAAGACATTTAGATAGGGGCATCTATCATACCCCAATTTTTTGTCCTACCTGTTTTAAATTTTTGTTTCCTTGACTTTATTTTCAATTTCTTGGATGTACAGACAGACTAGCTAAATTGTGACTCGAATATGTTGGAAAAATTAATGATTGAAAAGTCTTGAATTTAAGCTCGCAGGCGCTAGTTTTTGACCTACTTTCCTTTAAAACTCGACCTAGCGTACTCTCGACGAATTTTCAATCACTTTTGACCAGTGTGAGCCATTTTACCGGTCCCAGTCGATTCTCAAAATCGACTGAGTGTTGTATCTTTTCAAGTTATTCGTTTTGCGTTAATTTTTGTGTGCAGTCAATTTTAATCTTTTAAGCGTCTCTGTTGCCTGTTTCTGTTTATTCTCCCAGAGTTTATTTCTATATTTTCATCAAAAATGTCAGAATAATTAATGTGAACCTTTCGGGCTTGCATTTCTTAAAGGTGAGAAAATACTTGGAAGGGGGGTTGAATAAGTATATAGAAAAACTTATGGAAATAAAAACTCAAGGATTTTTATCCTGGTTCGTTGAACTCAACTACTCCAGTCCACCATATCAAGAGTGATTTGCCTTTCTCAACAAGGACTTAATCCACTATTAATCAACTGATTACAATATCAAGCACTAAGAGCAACTATTCTTAGTCTTCTCAAGAACTACTGACCACAACTGGGATTCTCAAGGAACGTTTACAATTAAATGTAAGAACTAAAACAAGTGTTTAAATGCTTCTAAGTAAGCTATATCACAACAGTGATTTTACACTTAAGTTAAGAACGTATGAAATAAAATTCAGCAATGAGAATAAATTGTATGAGAGCTTGTAATGAATTTCTTTCAATAATTCGTCAACTAAAGAAGAGTGTTGGAGACATGCTTTTATAGGCACAGGAGTCCAAGTAGCTTTCACGTTGAAGGTTGTGTACTGAAAAGGGTTGTAGCCTTTTTGTCTTCACATCACTTGACCTTTCCTAGAAGTAGAATGTACAGAGAAAACCTTTTTGTCTGTGTTCTTGTGTCTAGCATAAATGAGGAAAGAGTCATTTGGCCTAACCAACAGACATATCTTTGAATTCTTCTTCAACAAGTTTCTAATACTCAACAAATAACATCAGAGCCTTGAGTGATCAGAGTCTTTGATGTTCATCAGAGTTTGCTGAATCAGAGCAATGCAGCAAGTGTGCTTCAGTGTGTAATTTCATTAGAGCAGAGTTTTAGGAGTCAGATCCTCAGTACTTGCAGCGTACAGTACTCTCAGAGTCTTCTGAAAAACTTTGCTTGAAACTCTTCATACAAAAGTCTTCAGACTATGCTCCAGATGCTTCTGTAGCTTCTGCTTCAGATTCTTCTGTAGGCAGCGCTCAGAATCTTCTGTAGGCAGCGTTCAGATTCTTCTAAGAGATGCTTCTGACGCTTCAGAGCCTTACATAGTTTAATGTTCAGATCCAATTTGCTTCCAGAAGTATATAAACATTAATATCTGCAGCAAACATACTTGAACAAATTTTAGAGTATATAATTTCTTAACACAAAATTTCATAAGAGTTATCATCAAAACATAGAGATATAATTAAGAACCAATCTGTGTTCTAACAATCTCCCCCTTTTTGATGATGACAAAAACATAAGAAATTTTATTCAATAAAACAATAATTATAACTCCCCCTGAGATTATGAATCTCCCCCTGAATTGAATACTTAGAAAGAATAGAAACTTCCCTTTTTGCATTAGTATTCTTTTCAGAATCAGAGCCTGATTGTTCCAAAAGAATAAGATCTTGACTTGGATAAATGTTTTAGATTCAGAGCCAGATTGGATAAAGCTAGATATGGGGATCTCAGAGTTACTTTAAAGAAATTGTCAGATTTTTCGTATGTTCTGAAATACTAAGAGTTCACGTTAGTTATAATTAGATATGTCTGAATTTCATTTAGGTAGAGTTTATTTGAACAGTCAGATCCATTTTCTCCCCCTTTTTGTCATAATAAAAAAGAATTATAAAGACGAAATAAAAGGAAATAGAGAAAAGATACATTCAAGTATAGAAAACAACAGAGTCATTCATTCATTCATTCAGAAAAAACAAACAGACAAAAAACATCAAATCAGAAAGTCAAGTACATGTGCACAAACATCAGATACAGAAAAACATAAGACTAGGTTTGCTTGGAAAGAATCATCTTCAGAAGTTGAGTGATCTCAGATGAAGATTCCTCTTGTTTAGACATCCATTTTGCCAAGTGCTCATTCTTCTGATCTTGCTTAGCCATCCATGACTTGATCTAAGATTGCCCAGCTTCCAATACTGCAATCTTATCTTCTAAGTCTGGGTTCTCTTTCTTGATCTCAGATGAAGAAGATGGAGCAGATTCTGATGCAGGTGCAGAGTCAATAACCATTTGAGTTGTAGAGTCTGGATCCACAGGTGCAGAAGGGTTGTCTACAATTGTCAGAGCCAATGGATTTTCTTCAGAAGCAGATTCTGCAAAAGCTTCTGTAGCAGATACTTCAGAAGATGAAGGTACATCCTCAAGAAGCAAAGGTGCTGATCTTTTCATGTTCCATACCATGGTTCTGGCAGTTTCAGCAAACCTGATCTTCGCATCATCAGAACATACATTCTTCAGATTTGAAGCAACTGAATTGAATATGGAAATGAAGCTATTCCAGATAGCATCAGATCCAGCTGAGTTCATGGTTGACAAGCATCTTTTCTGTACAAAGCCTAAATTCATCTTTATTTCTTTCAGAAAATT